AGGGGGAAAAAGCAAGGGGAACCCAAGTTCAAGCCCCATTATGGGCACAAAAATAAGAAAATAAAGTGGTTTATGTTATTTATTACTTCAAAAACTGCCAAGTGAGCCCAATGTTGTGTATGTCACAAGGCAGATCAAGTGATAAAATTCTGATCTAGTAAACAAACTGCTGAATTTCTAAAGGGTGATTAAAAGAAAACAACAAAGGCAAGACTTTTCCATGTTTGTTTTGTTTCTGTCTCTGGATAATGACCAGTCAGTAACCATTTGGAATCTAAAGTCTTATGTAACAAACTCTGTAACTTGTGATCAACACAAAGATTTCCACTGTAAATCTCCAAAATGTTCTCAAAGGTTCTTCTCAAAGTTGCAGAAGAAATAATGGGATATTACAAGGTGAACAATCAGAGAGGTATTTGTGGTTCCCCTGTACTGATATCCTTGCCATTTTCCAAGGAAGGGTAAGTGAAGACAGCCTCTCTAACAGCCCTACAATCTGCACAATTGGAGGTTTGGATCAGTAGGTAAAGTGTCAGCCAATGAGCAAAATCTCAGGTACCAAGTTTGAGTCCTGGGCTCACAACAACAAAACATAATCCTCAGAATTTATGGAGGAGATCAAATAATCTTGACCTTCTTCACTCTACTCCTCAACTGTTCTTCTCCCCATCTCCTTCCCCTTCCCCTGCCCTCTCAAACCTTTCCTTTTTTTCTGTACCCCAAAAATTTTTTTGGTTTTTTTTTTGGGGGGGATCTGGTTATGGGGCCTGAACTCTGGGCCTGAGCACTGTCCCTCAGCTCTTCAGCTCAAAGCTAGTGCTCTACCACTTGAGCCACAGCGCCACTTCTGGCTTTTTTCTTTTTGCTTATGGGGTGCTGAGGAATCAAACCCAGGGCCTCAGGCATGCAAGGCAAGTGCTCTACCACTGAGCCAACTTCCCAGCCCCTGTACCCCAAAATTTGCATTTGAAGAGTCTTAAACCCTATTTCCTGCCTGAAGAGCTGGAAATATTTCTCTCTCTCTCTCTCTCTCTCTCTCTTTCTCTCTGTGTCTTGAGACTTAAACTCAGGGCTTGAGTACTGTGACTGAGCTTTTTGTGCTCAAGGCCAGAGCTCTACCACCACCTGAGTCACAGCTATATTTCCAGCTTTTTTAGAGGTTCATTGGAGATAAGAGTCTCATAGACTTTCCTATCCAAGCCATCTTCAGAACATGATCCTCAGATCTCAGCCTCCTAAGTAGCTAGGATTACAGGTAAGAGCCCTGTGCATACATGCTCTCTCTCTCTTTCTCTCTCTCCCTCACTATCTTCCTCCCCCCTCTCTCTCTTAAACTCCTTACTTCAAATAAAAGATTGCATTTGCAAAAAACTATTTCATTAGTATGAATTTTTTTTGTCAGTAATGGAGCTTGAATTCTGGGCCTGGGTGCTGTCCCTCAGCTCTGCAGCTCAAGGCAAATGCTTTACCACTTGAGCCACAACACTTTCAGTTTTCTGGTTGTTTATTGGAGATGACAGTTTAACAGACTTTCCTGCCCAGGCTGGCTTTGAACCACGATCCTCAGATCTCAGCCTCCTGAGTGGCTAGGTGGCATGAGCCACCAGTGCCTGGCTAATTAATAAGAACCTATTAAGTTTTTTGGCATTTATTTTTAATAGTGTATTTAGTTCAATGTAAAGATCTTTGATGTATTATGTGTAGTTTTTTTCCATTTATACTTTCACTCGATTTTTAGACTTAGGTTTTTAAAAAATATTTTAAATGCATTTAATGTTTAGCCACACAATAAAATATTGGCTTTATTAGTTTTGTTCTAGTATCATCATTTCAATGAATACACATTTGGATTCATGAATTATACACATCTCAATTTTACTGAAATGTGGTCCAATTGTTCTTAAAGACATTATACTGTCATCCATAGTTCATTACATTTCCTGTGGATCCTCATCACAACCAGTATTTTGCATTAGCAAATTCTTGCATCTCCTCCACTCTGGTAGAAAGTGAGATGCAATGGTTGTTTAGCCCATATTTGCATGATTTATGGCAAATGGTGACATCTTTTCATGTTTACTGCCATTCTCTTTGTCTTTTTCTTATTGTACATTGCTGTTCTCACTTTGTATTAGTGCTATAATTCTCTTCTCCCAATCTATGAAGTTTTCCACTTTATTAATAGTACATTTAGGTAAATACAAGTTTTAATTTTTAAGAAATTGAATTGATTCATCTTTCCAATGGCTTGTGTTTTTGTGATAGAAAAACGTGTTTCTTCACTTGAGGTAATTATGTTGTTCACTTACATTTATTTCTCCAAGTTTCATATTTTTCTTTTTCTATAATTGTCTTCAATTAGAGTATGAAGTAGGAATCCAGTTTTATATGTTTCCACCTGAAAATATTAGCATTTAATAAACAATCCCTTCTCTCCCTCCCTACCAATCTGCTATGCTGGGTCCCTCTTATAGCAAGCATTCACACACACCTGGGTGTGTTACTGAGCTATTGTATGCTTTTAATGCTTTGTTCTGCCTTGGAACCAAAATCTCATTATCTCAACTATAGCTTCACTTAAGAAAAACTTCTAAGATCTATTAAGACAGAACCACCACCATATGAATATACTCCCACATGTTTTCTTCTCCAAAATTGACCTGATATTTAAAGCTTAGGCTTTTGTGCAGAGCTGACATGATCTGATTCACAGTTTTAAAAAGGACTATCAAGAACTATTCTTGTGTTAAGAATAGTAATGATGAGACAGAGGGAAGGATTGCTGGAACTATGCCCTCGAAGAGATGAAAGGGAATGAGCTTCCAGTGGAGACAGGAGGGATTAGCTCTGAAGAGCAGCACACATAGCTCTTCTATAATAATGGTAGGATGAATGCGGATGCTGGAGGTGTGGTGTTGACTGTGTGGGAATTGTCTATCAATTGCTTTCATCTTCTCAGTGATGTCATCAATTAAGAATGTAGATGGGAAGGCAGATGGTGAGGTTTAAGGAGAAAGGACAAGGTATAAGATCTTTTTTAGGGGGGATGGGAAGGTGGCTCAGTGGTAGAACGCTTGCCTTGCATGCGTGAGGCCCTGGATTCGATTCCTCAGCACCCCATAAGCAAAAAGAAAAAAGCCGGAAGTGGCGCTGTGGCTCACGTGGTAGAGCACTAGCCTTGAGCTGAAGAGCTGAGGGACAGTGCCCAGGCCGAGTTCAGGCCCCATGACCGGACCCAAAAAAAAAAAAGATCTTTTTAGGAGACAAGGAAGTGAATGATTTCCAGAAGGCATTAAAAGTTAAAACCAGTCTATATGGCTGTTTGTCACTAGTCAAGCAGAGGCAGAGCTGGATTTAAACAGGGTTCTGGTTTGGTAATGTTAGACTCGAACTCAAGACCCCCGAGAGACCCCCAGAGACCAAGACCAATATAATAGGCAAAAGAGTCGTTTATTACAAGCTCGAGCTTGGTCCTTCTCGAACTTGGTAACCAGTGACACTAAGAGGCCCCAAGCACAAAATCAGTACAGCTTTTATACTATTGAACAAACAAGTTTAGGGGGTTGCTACACAAGCAGTTACATGATTGGTTAACATTTACAGAAGTGGTTTTGTCAGTTTCCCATTGTCTCACATACTGAGGTTTGAATGCGGCCTGACCATACTTACTACCTTTTTTAGAAACTTTTTGTGTTTCTTGGCTGTTTCTCAACCCTTGTCTAATTCTCAACCCTTGCTAGGGGTATAATTGCAGTTTCGATTGCAGGCTTTCTGAGAACTTTCCAATAACTGGCTTTTCTGATAACTGTTTATCCCTTAAATTCAACTTAAGGTCAGTTTTACATGAAATGGTGGCTTGCTCTTAAAATGGAGTTAGTTTAGTCCTTCAGAAACTGAATAAAGAATAATAAAGAAACTGCAGGTATATCCTTACAATGAGGTTATAGAAATAATGCCATTATAAATAGAAAGTGTAAAAAAGAAATGCCCTTAATACATCTAAACTGTGGATCCCACACCTTAGCACACTATAGAGTGCTATTGTTCACTCTTATTGACTGAGAGCTGTGGCTCACTACCACTGCCCATTATTGGGTAGGTAGAATAGTAACAAAATTGATCATTAATTCAAAATTTGAGGCTATAAATAGGGTCTCACTATGCCTATCAAGCTGGTCTCAACTCATGATCCTCCTACTTCTTCCTCCTGACTGCTGTTATTACAGTATGAACACCACACCCAGCTTGAAGCATGATTTTTATTGAATGTATGTTGCTTTCACACCCATCCTAAAGTCAAAAGAATCAAAGTGGAGAATACTAAATCAAACTATGCCACACATACATTTATCTTTTATACACACCATTACCACTGAAGCTGGAGAAAGAGGAAGTGAAGACATGTATGAGGAACCATGAAAAATGGACAAATCAATAGACTAGAAGGCCATAGGTCACTGAGACCTACCTGAAAGAACTGAGTGAAGGATCAAGACCAAGAAGCTGTAAATTTCTTCTCCTCTTTGCTAGAGCCTAGACTTCCATCATCACAACAGAGCTCCCTGTTCTGAAACCCCACGTCTTGAAAATTCCCACAGATGAGAGGGCCTGAGATCCCTCAGTTTCTCTTGGAGATTTGAGACAGGAAAATAAAAGCATTGCATAGAAAATGCAATGGCATGCTGAAACAAGGATACAAGGTAACCCCTTGTAACAATGAGATGTACAAGACACTATGTTGAAAATGAACTTTACAACTTCCAGGTGGGGAGAGGGAGGAGTTGGGGAGGAATGGAGGGAAGGGATGATAGGGGAAAAACAAAGGAGGGGGTAACTATGCTCTTTAGGAAATATACTCATTACCTTATTCATGCAATTGTAACTCCTCTGTACAGTATCTTTACAATAAAAAAGAATGAACATAAAAGAAAATGCAATGGCAGTTGTTAAATAGATTGTCATAAAACAACACTATGATTCACAAAGTCCTCTTTCCACAGGTTTAAACATTTTGTCTATACATACCGAATCTTCAGAGAGAAACATGGATATTACAAGATTCAGGTAAGAATGCCAAAAGAATGCAAAGGTTAGGAGAGAACCTGAGATCTTCTCCTGACCATTGGAAGTAGTCATACCAAGGCATTCTAAGGGAATTCTGAGAGAAGTTCCCTGCAAGGTTAGGAATCAGATCAACAGTTAGCTTTGTCCTTCTCTGAGAAAAATAGAAAGGACTTAATACTGGTTTACGCACTGTTATTCAAGAAGTCAGAGTCACACCAATGCTGCTATTCCAATAATCAAATGTGCCAACCTGTGCTCCATTAAAAAAAAAACAAACTGTTGTTACATGAAAAAAAAATAAGAATGGTGCTGGATGAGACTGGGAAAGGAAGGTGAGGGAAGAGGTCTGAGCATTCAGGAAGTCATTTGTGTTCCACAGTTGTCTGAAAATAGGACAGGGAACTAAGAGTTGTTTTAAGTTTTCTGGTGGAAATGAAACAGGAAAACCTTTCTGCGTCTTTTGACTTTAGTTATCCAGCTTAAGAAATAAATCATAATATATGTAATTAAATTTTTTTTAGTTACAAATGAAGTTCTGAAATAATCTTTCTAGAAAAGTTGCTTACAAAATGGCTTTTTTACTACAAAATTTCTTAGGATCTTCAATATGAGCATGTTTACTGTAACTATCTGAATGACTAGAATACACAATGATCTTCAAATAAGTATATGATTTTTCCTTTTGTTATTCACAGACAATATTTAAATAAGATTAACCAAAAATACTGCAACAAGATTAACTTTCTGATTTTGATCATTGTAATGTAATGACTTTACTTTTTAGAAAATACTAAAGTATAGCCAAGTATTGGTGGCTCATGCCTGTAATTCTAGCGACTCAGGAGACTGAGATCTGAGGATCACTGTTCTAAGCCAGCCTGGGCAGAAAAGTTTCCATAAGACTCTTTTATCTCCAATAAACCACTCAATAACTAGAAGTGGTGCCATGGCTCCAAGTAGTAGAGTGCTAGCCTTGCACACAAAAAACTCAGGGACAGCACCCAGGCCCTGAGTTCAAGCCCCATGAGCCACAAAAAAAAAAAAAAACCTACAGAGTTGGGAATCCCTTGACTGGAAGTCTTCTTTAGTCAAGTCAGAGGTTGGTCTTAAAGAAGCAAATTTCTGTGAAATGCCTATGGAGCTGAATGCTTACACATGAGCTACTGGCCTTTTATTTTCAGTTCATCAGCTCTCAGAGAGAGCCCTGTAAACCACTGTTGCAAAAGGTGACACAATTCCCACACAATTGCACAATGATGAGTGCCCTTTATTCTATTTTTTGCAGACTGTGGAAGGGGCTCCAGAACAAATCTTTCCAAACTTAAAGGAATTAATCTCCAAATATGAAAAACCAAACCAAGGGCTGGTGATTCACCTCTTATACCCAGTAAACAGAAGCAGCTTCTGCCCAAGAAAGAGAAGAATACAGTTAAATGGTATTTATGTTCAAAGTCTTCACAAAAGAATCCTGATTCTAGTGGCGCTGTAGCTCAAGTGGTAGAGCGCTTGCCTTGAGCTGAAGAGCTGAGGGACAGCGCCCAGGCCCAGAGTTCAAGCCCCACGGCCAACCAAAACAAAACAAAACAACAAAAAAAAAAAGAATCCTGATTCTATCTTCACCAGGGCTCTGCACTGGAGAGTCAGTGCAAAGACAGAAATGTCCTTTGCTGTGACATCACCTCTGAAAACACTTCATCCCGTAAAAGGAACTTCTATTTCATTGAAAAATGATGTCTTCTAGCCCTTGCAGGTGGCCAAGATAGAGTTGTTTGTGCTTAGCCAGGATAGCAAGTGGTTTCTAGACAAAAAGTTGATGGTGAATTTATCTATAACTTAGAATAATTCATCTGTTTGAGATAAATGAAAATGTAAGCAGGTTTCATTGAGAATAACACTTCAACTTCCTCCCTAAGGCTTATTCTGTTCATTTTGTTTAACATTTGCTAAGCATTCTTTATGAAGTAATGAATGACAAATCATTTCCAATATATCCCTTAAGGCATAAGGTCATTAAGGAGGATGAGAGATGATTAGTGAATTGGAAGGCAACCTGTATTTAGAATTCTCAGATCACATCATGAGTTTACCTTCATGTGTGAAGTCTGCCCTCTGAAAAGAGTCTAGTATCTGAACTGCATTATATCTTTAAAAGAAAAACATTTTAAAATTACCTTTAAGTAGTTTACAAGGGGCTTCAATTCAATGTGTCAGTTTATAATGCATCTTGATCAATTTTACCCTGCTATTGTTCTTCCCTATTAGTTGTATTTTGAGCTGAACTCAGATGGTTAGAGACAACATTCCTGGTTTAATTTTTATCACTCCTGGTGGAAATGTATGGCTACATTCTCATTACTATCACCATTGAAGCTGGAGAAGAAGGAAGTGAAGACATGTATGAGGAGCCATGAAAAATGGATAAATCAATAGACTAGAAGGCCACAGGTCACTGAGACCTATGTGAAAGAACTGAGTGAAGGATCAAGACCAAGAAGCTGTAATTTCTTCTCCTCTTTGCTAGAGCCTAGACTTCCATCATCACAACAGAGCTCCCTGTTGTGAAACCCCATGTCTTAAAAATTCCCACAGATGAGAGGACCATTTATTGGGGGATGACAGTGATGAGAACTCATTTCTAAAGAAGGGGAGTGAGAAACGACAGAGTTCTCAGGTAGCTGCCCCCACTACATACATCTTTTTAGTTTGGAGCAAGAACCGCTGTAGGCTGCCACAGTAAGCTTCATATCTCCCCAACAAGATGAAGTATGGAATTCTAAAGACTAAAACCTCTCCCACCCACCCCATCATTTCTATCCTGTCACTACCTGCAAGGGAGCATATACCTGACAGAAACACAACCACTTTTTGTAGATCAGATGCAGATATAGTTCTAACAGCTATCTCCCCACCCCCAAACTTTTAGAATTCAGACACATAAAAGAGGCATCAAAGCAGCTATACTGCAACACTTGGGCAAATCCGTATGTGTTGCTGGAGGTGATGGGTAGTAGTAACATCTAAGCAATGATATAAAACTTACAAACCCAGGAGAAAAAAAAACCCTCAGATGTTCCCCCAAGAATTAGGTGAGCATTTTACTATGCCCATTCCTGGTGTACACTGGCAGAGAGAACTCTAAATACTCAGCCACCCAAGGCCCAGATCTGCCCTTCAACCTCACCTTTTCCCTCCACTTTCTTGTCTTTTCAATCATATCTAGAGCTTAGAGCAAGCTCCAGAAAATAACAATTATTCTGAGGAAAGCTTACCAGTGGTAAATATAGATATTTGGTCCTAGAAAGTAAGACTTAGCTTCTACAAGAACTCTCCATTTTTATTTTTTGTCAGTCATGGGGCTTGGACTCAGGGCCTGGACGCTTTCCCTGAGTAGTATTCTACCACTTTGAGCCACGGCTTCATATCTGGTTTTCTGGTGGTTAATTGGCAGCAAGAATCTCACAGACTTTCTTGCCCAGGCTGGCTTCCTCAGATCTCAGCTTCCTGAGTAGCTAGGATTACAGGCATGAGCCACCAGTGCCTGGCCAAGAACTCTCAATTTTGCCATAAAAAAGCTCTCAGTGATACTCTAGTCTTTGAAGATATCACTTTGATTTCTTTGTACCTGTGTTCCTTTTCCTTGAGGGGGATTGATTGATGTGACTTCTAGGTGTCCAGTCTCATAGATGTCCTTTGTTTCTCTCCCTCCAGAGAACAATGATTATGTGGATGTCTTGCCTTGAAGATATGAAGACAAAACAAAACAAGTTAGATAAGAGATGAAGCACAGCTCAGGGTGGCAACCACTTCTCTTACAGGTGCAGGTCTGGAATGCCAAATTCTAATGGACAGTTGAGACTCTTCAGGTCTGAATAACTGAAAAATCTTCTGTCTAGTATCCCCAGAAAAGTCACTTCCCATATCATTGTTGACTCCCTGGCATATACTGCAAGATGTTCTAAGTCCCTCTTCACTTGTCCCTCTTCTTTTGTGGAATGGAAGAGCTGAGCCTATTCTCCAGAACTTGCCAAAGGTCAAGGAGAGACAGCATGGTTGCCATTCTCCTTTTGACAGGTCAATCATAAGGGTAGCCTCAAACAAAGAAAAGAGCATTCAGGAACAAATTCAGAGCTGTGAGTTCCAGTCCTGTGGGTTTGTGATTTTTGGACAAACCACTCCCTTTCTCTAGGTCTGCTTTGATTATCTATGAGTGGGTTGGCAGAGTGATATCTACTAGCCCAGTCTCTGTGTTATGCCTGGTTGGGTCAGTTGGAGTTGGGGAATCCAGGACTGATAGAAATGCAGCAGATAAGGTCTCAGCCTCCTACACAGCCAACACCTTCTCTGCACTGCCTGTTCTGGGTCTAGGTCCTGGAAAGGGTCATGACTCACTCACTCATGCTCCCTTCCTCCATCTGCCTGGGTTATTCTCCCTCTACTCTCTTCTAATTTTGATCTTCCTGCCAAATATTGCCCTGGACACTTTTTCTGATTTTGCCAATTCCACTTCAGCAGCAGGGATGTGGTTCTGTAAGCTGTATATTTGTGGGTATAGTATTTTTAATTTAAAGACATTCTCCTATGGGCGCTCTTGTAACCTCCTATATTCTAAGTGCCATAAGAGCATGGCTGAGTATTTTAGAGACTCCAGTATGTAGAAATATTTGCTGTGTAGGACAGTGCCCCATTCTTAGGAATTAGTGATTAGAAGCATGTTTCCAAAGGATTGATTGGTTTACTTCTACGACTTCAAGTTTTTCTTCTAGTTCCAACTGTTAATTAAAACATTGCTAGAGGCCAAGCCTGATGGTGCACATCTGTAAACCCAGATACTTAGGATCAGAGGTGGATCAAGATTTTAACACTGTCTCAGCTATATTGCAAGGCCTTATCTCAGAGAGAGAGAGAGAGAGAGAGAGAGAGAGAGAGAAACAAAAACAGAGACAGAGAGAATAAAGAAAGAGAGGAGAACAAGAGAAGAGGGGAGGAGGAGAGGGGAGGGAAAAGGAGGGGAGGGAAGTAAGAGGGGAGGAGGGGAGAGGAGAGAAAAGGGTAGAGTAGGGAGGGGAGCAGAGAAAACAGGGAAGGGGAGGGGAAGAGAGGGGAGGGGAGGGGAGAGAAGAGGGGAGGGAAGGAGAGGGGAGGGGTGGGGAGAGAACTATTTTGGAATATAACAAGTTTTATGCTCTTTATCTTCAAACTTTAATTATTCATTTTATCCCCCTGATTTTGATTCTGTTGTTTTCCCATAAATTATTTTGTCAGTTATAAATACTAAAATTTGTTCTCTATTTTTAGTTATTTTTTGAAAATTATTGTTTGGGGGCAGTACTGGGCTTTGAATGCAAGACCTTGTACTTGTTAGGTAGGCACTCTACCACTGAGCCACATCTCTAACTAATTCTCTTAAGTACTGAAGCTTTTTATCCATACTTCGTGTTTACTCCAGTGGCTTCCAGTAGTCAGGAGAGTGGATACTCCTGTATTCATCCTGATGTTTCAGGGGTTAATATGTCATAGGGATTTAAGCATATCATTTGTGGTAGGGTTTTAACAGTCTATTTTATAACTGCCATCCAAAATGTTCTGAAACTTTACTGTGAATCTTTTTCTTTTATTTTCATTCATTCTCTTCATTTTCATTGCACTGTAGAGATAAGTTACATAAAATGAATAAAATTATCAATTTTATCAGTACAATACACTGTAGGTTCACTTTAATATGTGAGATAATGTTTTTCTTTTTCTCTTTTCTGCAATAAAATGAGGATTACCAATTCCTTGAAATTCTTTAGTACTTAAGATTTTATACATTTGAGTTTGAGGCTCTAGTAAGGAAAGAGAAGTGTTTCATTGCTATTTCAATATCTTTAAAACATTGGTTTATTCAACTATTTTACCAATATTGACTTTTTTATTTTTCATAAACTTATTTTGTTTAAGCTACCATACTAGTGATGTATAGGTAATAATATTTTTAATACTCTAGTTGTGACTATAATCATATCTCCTTCATGTCTGATTACATTGTTATATTGATTTGTCTTTCTTACTCTGCCATTCCCATTTTAACTAGTTTGAGATTTTTTTAAACAAATATTATTCTGGCGTTATTGGGGTTTGAGCCTAGGACCTCTGATTGCCAGGCAGGCATTCTACCACTTTCGTCCTTTCTGCTTTAAGTATTTTTCAAATTTCTGCAGGGGCCTGCCTGGATTGTGACCCTCTTATTTATACTTCCAGTGTAGCTTGGATAAAAGGTGTGTACCACCAAGTCCAACTTTTGTGGATTGAGATCAACATCTCCAACTATTTTCTGATATATAATTTAAAATTCTGATTATCTACTCCTTTTGGATTCTTTATCATTTAACAGTAAACTATGGAAACAAGTACCAATCCTTCCTTCTTTTCTTTTCTTTTTTCTTTTTCTTTCTTTTTTTTTTTTTCTGTTGTGGGGCTTGAACTCTGGGCTCAGGAGCTGTCCCTGAGCTCTTCAGCTCAAGGCAAGTGCTCTACCACTTAAGCCACAGCACATCTGTTTTTCTGATGGTTAATTGGAGATAAGAGTCTCACAGACTAGGATTGAAGCCTAGTCTTAGCTACTCAGGAGGCTGAGATCTTATGATCACAGTTCAAAGCCAGCTCAGGCAGAAAAGTCCATGAGACTCTTATCTCCAATAAACCACTCAGAAAACCAGAAGTGGAATAGTGACTCAAGTGATACAGCGCTAGCCTTGATCTGAAGAGCTGAGGGACAGTGTTCAGACCCAGAGTTTAAGCCCCATCATCGACAAAAACAAAAAACAAAAGCAAAAACAAAATACATTCTCCTGTCTTTGTCTTTATGCAAAAATAGTTTCTGTGGAAAGTTTTTGTATTCTTATAATTTTTTTAGAGTTCTCATTAAAAAGAACTCTTTTGCTACTCTACTTGAGTAGAAAATCTTTCTGAGTAGCAAATATTTTTCTTTTCTTTTCTTTTTCATTTTTTTGTTGGCTATGGGGCCTGGGCACTGTCCCTCAGCTCTTCAACTCAAGGCAAGCACTCTACCACTTGAGCCACAGCGCCACTTCTGGCTTTTTCTGCTTATATGATTCTGAGGAATCAAACCCAGGGCCTCATGCATGCAAGTCAAGCACTCTACCAGTGAGCCACCTTCCAGCCCCGCATTTTTTTAACTTTTAATGTATTTTTTTTGTTATTAAGGTATTGTACAGAGGGGTTGCCATTTCACAACTCAGGTAATGTATGTTTCTCTTTTGGACAATGTCACCCCTTCCTTCATTTTCTCCCAGTTTCCCCCTCCTGTCCATGCCCACAAGTTACATAGTTTATTTTCTACATAGTATATACTGAATGACATGATTACATTTGTTCACCCTTCCTCTTCCCTTTCTGTGACTACCTCTTTTTGTAACCAATCCAAAGCAGAAAAATACAAATGAAAAGCACAAACTGTGAGAGCCCAAAAAATCCAGGCTGTGAGACCCCCTAAAAGGATTAGGAGTTTGGAATGCCTTCTCCCAATACATGCTCAGAATGATGAGAATTTTCCTAAAAGGCTTAATGGGAACTCAGATTCCACTATTAACTGTGTGGGAGCCTATAGGTAGACTTAGGTTTATGCAAATTATAGGCTGTTTACTATTTAGTCCTCCTTTCAGAATAAGAAGGTCAATTGTATACAAAATATTGTCATATGTTTAAGTTTGTACCATACTTCCTTGCACAAGACCAATAAAAACCTTGGTTAATGGAACCTTGGGATCTGTTGTGGTGGAAGTCTACAGGTCCCCTGGTACCCCAAACCTCAGTTCCATGGTCTGGTCTGGTCTCTGTTACTGTGTTACTCCTGGTTGCGGCAGGTTGCAACAACACAAAAACACCACCACCATCAACAACAACAACAACAAAACATGATTCTGTTTCCTAGAACTCATTTTTATAATAGTATTTTACATGTTCAGAAGATTTATGCTTTTGGGTTCCTCCCATTCTAGTATTCTCCTTTGGTCTGGCTG